CCCCAAAACCCCAAAACCCCAAAACCCCAAAACCCCGTTTTAGGACTTCGGAGGGTTAAAATTTGAATAAATCATATCACACAAGGAATATGAAGATATATCAGGATTTTAACCAGTTGTCTAAATTATTTATCTACCCAGTTCTCTATCGCCTCGAGTACCATCTCTTTCATGATTGGGTATGGCACAAGGATATGATCAACAGCCCTAGGACGATGATTGGGCTTATTTTCCACCAGCTAAATGTAAGTCAAAGTTACCCCATATAGACTTTTTAATTGCTCCATGAGTTTGCTATCTTTGTTGTCAATTTCAAGATCTCTGTTCATCTTTTTAGGTTTGCAAATCTCTCGTTGTTGGATTTTAGATTTCATATATTTTCTAGAGATACAATCAAAATGTACCTAAAATAAATCTTCCTGACATGAACCGATACTATTTGACCTGCTTTCGCCTTATTCATCACTTTCAGTTCTTTTCTTTTAACCAGAGTTTTCTCTGCTTTGGTCCATTGGCAGTCCATAGAAGCATATGTTATGAATCTTCTGAACAAGAAAAGCTTGATATTTCTACTGGTCACACTAAATCTCACCTCTGGATCCTGATTACCTTCATGAAGTATCTGTGGCACTTAAGGTCAACTATAAGTCATGCTAAATCTCTACATGTTTCGCCATAATTGTAGTTGAACTCTAAAAATCCTCTGATCCGCTCTGCAGCTATGAGCTTGCGCTTCGCAAGCCATCGCTTGCCGTGAGCGGCAATGAAGGACTTGAGCCGTTTGCGGGCAATTTTTAGCTAAATTTTTAGTAGGATTTTGAGTACTCTTGCCTTCTTAGCCTTGTATTTTAGCTTGCCCAGAGCTTTGCAGAGCATGTAGAAAGCTATTTTGGTTAGGAGGTTGGGTACTTGTTAGTGTCTTCTTCTTGGTATCAAAATGTTGCTTCTTCCCAATATACCGTTCAGCGATCAACTTTCAAAAATTGTACTTCAGGTCTTCCAAAACATACACTTGGCTTGTACTTTTGATCTAAATTTTGGGTAATTTTAAGACAAATTTACAGTCTCGTGCCTGAACATTTGGTTATTTGTACTGGCGGATCTTCATATTTTGGAAAATCCTGTGCCGCTTGGACTCTACAGATGAAGGAAAAGTACCTTCGAGCAATTCCTTACGGTCCTGGACAAGTCTTATCTTCCTCCTGGTCTTTTCAGGATTTATATTTTGACCTGGATGAGTAAATTTTTGCTTATTTTAGTCTGGAGTTAGATCAGAAAATACCGTTTTTCTTCGAATAATGAGCCTCCTAACTTTTCAAACATGAATTGGGAGATCTTGTCGTGAGACCTTGGATCTGGGAGGTGTGGTATTTTTGAATATCTCTTGTTATAGATATTGTTCAGTAGTTTGGCTCGCTTATGATGCATCCAATCTATATCTGGCTGGGCAAGCCCAGCTGAGAGCTGATTGAAGGCGTTAAAATCGGTCAGGACTTCTATTTCAGGCTTATGTTTGTGGAAAATCATGCTGGCTAATCTGTCTCTGTTTTGGTGAGCAATTTTAAAAATTTCCTAAAACTGGTTATAAATTTGGGTACTTCAGATGAAGGGCTTTCAGCCCTTTCATAAGATCTAGTAGGTCTTTTGCGAATTCATTCTCGAACTTTTGGGTTCAAATTGAATTTCACTTTATTTATCACATATTTTAGGTTTAGAAGCGATTACTGGTGTTTTGAGTTGTGTCAGGGATGAAACTGAGAAATTTGGTCCTTTTGTGATCGAGCTTTTGGAAGTGTCTTTTGCAAATCAGCTGGAGTAGCGATTTAAAGTAGTATCTGTTTCTAAGAAATAGAACTTACTGTTATTTGCTTGTCTGATAATCATTGAAGTCATTATTTCCAAAATAAGTTTGTATTTTAAGAGTATGATCGTAGTTAGTAGCCCTTCTTTTATTTTAGTCTTCCTTCATTCAAACCATTGTTGCAAGAAGAATTCAAACTAAGATGTTTATCTCTAAATTCTTTAAGACTGCCAGTTAACAACAAGCCATTTCGTCTAGTCTACCAAAATAACTCGCTTAAATACCCTTCATTTCTGCTTTTCTTCCTTCTCCCTCTCAAAATCTCTCATTTCTAAACCCGTAAAACCCCACTCCTACCATCATTTTTGATTTCAAACCTCTTAAAAAATGGCCTTTTTACTCCTAGATCCTTCTAAACCTTCAAAATCTTACTTTTTAATATCTTCCTCTCTCCCCATTCTCCCCTACCCCTATTACCCAATCCCCTACCTTTCTCAAACTCAGTGTGAACAACTTATCCATTTCCATATTAAATAATTCAAATTTCCCCTTCCCCCCAGGGGTTTTGGGGTTTTGGGGTTTTGGGGTTTTGGGG